TTAGTGTGCGTCGTCGACGAGTAGTACCGACCGACGTGGGTAGGGGAGGGGGGGGGGGGGGCATTGCATGCCTCCGTTATTTGTCGGATTTGGTTTCCGTCCCTTTTACCTTTCGACACTTACTTCATCTTTATTCCCCCAAGTTGTTCCATGGAGGAGTTTTTTCCCTCGTGGCTAGAAGTAAAAGAGTACTAGTTAGCCTCGAGGATGACCGAGATCGTGGCTGGTAGGCCCGCTTTATTGCTGCCCCCACTAGTGGGTTAGTGGGTAAGAAAACATGCCTTTTCCAGAAAAGTAGAACTTTGCACGTAAGTTTTCTTCTTTTTCTTTTTATATGTCTTGAATTACTTCATGTAATCGCATACCCATTTTTCAACAACCATGGAAGTCTTTGATGAGATTCTCGACTTCCGTGCTTGGGTAGAAAAGATGTTGAAGGCTGCCCCTATGGACAAAAGATCTTGGAAGTTTCTTTCTCAACTTTCGGTTGGAAAGTGAAAACGCACGGTACGTTTTCCCATCATAATTCTTCTTCTTCTTCTTCTTCTTTTACTTGTTCGTATGAAAAATTTTCATCCTCCCTTTTCTTATTAGGGGTTGCTATTTGTGGCATTAGTCCCATGTCTGTCTCGTCAACCAGGCTTTCTGTAAGTCTCGCCCAGGAACGGATTTTGAGTGCCACTTCCTCCAAGAGGAAAAATAATGAAGCTCATGGCTCTGATGATGAAGAGGAAGTAGAAAAATGTTCTTTGGTGAGAAAACTGCGCGTTAGGAGACGCATGGTTTCTGATGATGAAACTCCTGCTTCTCATGACCTTCCATCGAGTTTGATTCCTTTCAGACTCATAGGTGAGCCAGAAAATGTTCCTTTAGTGATTTCTGATGAAAACGCTACTAATCTTCCATCCAGTCCTGTTGACAGGTTGCTCACCCAAGGCTTCGAGGGTAAAGAAGATTTCAGGCCTGTTCCGAAGAATTACCTCTCCCTTTCCTTCTAGTTCCATCTACCATTAAACCCCGTGTGTCTTTACCTGATGTTACTCCAGTTGCCGCTCCCATTGCTGCTTCTCATGTAGAAGCTGAGCCTTCTAGCAGCAGAAGGAAGATGAAAAGAGTTGTAATTGATGTCCCTGAGGGTGGGAACTTATTGAGGAAGTCTTGTCAAGCTGATGTGTGGTTGAAGCCATTGCTAGGCCCTGTAGAGAAGAAGAAGTTAGAAAGCATAGTTCACTGACCTTAATTAATGATATTGTTCATTCTTCTTTGAAGGTATAAGTTTAGTTACACTTACTTCCTTCTTTTTCCTCATTCATAACTCTTCCTCCCCTACCTTTTTCGCAGATTAATATGATTGGCATAGAGCATATGAAAAGAGTTTCCCAGACTGATCAACAAATTATTGAATTTCATACCGAGGCTGGCAACTGGAAAGAACAAGATAAAGGTCTTCAACTGGAAAAGGAAGTTCTTGAAAAAGAGAAGAGTGCTTTGGAACAACAAATGAGAATGGTTTCCGCTGAGTTAGCAGTTGAAAAAGCTTCTTCCTGTCAAGTCGGGAAGGATAAGGATAGACTGAAATCCTCTTTTGGTGGACAACTCTCCAAGGCTACTGAAGAGATAAGGGGTTTGAAAGAACTCCTTAATCAAAAAGAGGTTTATGCGGGTGAATTGGTTCAGACACTTAACCAAGCTCAAGAAGATCTCCGTACCTCTATAGATAAAATTCAGTTCTTGGAAAGTTCTCTTGACCCTTTGAAGACAACCTATGAAGCCTCAGAAGCAGAAAAAGAAGAGCTGATAGCTGAGATTGATCAGTGGGAGAAGGATTTCGAGGCCTTCGAGGATAAGTCATCGCTGGATGTTAGTTGGGCTTTTTTGAACACTTGCCTTGAGATTTTAATTGAATCCAACTAGGAAGGTTTTGACCTTAATGCTGAGATTGCTAGGTCTA